AAAAACTACATGAGAGTTTATAATAAACGAAGTTAATGAACTACAAACGAGTTATGAACAATAAATAAGTCACTCTTGGTACCTTATATTGCTTGTTAAGTACCTTTAATTTTATTTTTCAGTCACATCACAACAAGGTTTAGCTTCACTTAGCCCGTATTTAAATTTTGACCCATCATACCTTCCTGTCAGTCAGCCAGAATTCATATTTCCCGATGGTGCTATGAAACAAAGAGGCCGCTTTGAGTTAGCTTTCAGTCAAATTGGAGCTGCATGTATAGCAGGCGCAGGGGTTGGTGGCGCGTCAGGTTTATACAGAGGTGTCAAGGCGACGTCTATTGCTGGCGAGACTGGCAAACTCAGAAGAACACAGTGCGTTTTTTTGTATTCCTTTTGATATCTAAAGAATTGTGCATGTATGTATCTTTTTTCCAGATTGATTAATCATGTTATGAAAGGTGGAGCTAGTATGGCAAATTCACTCGGTGTGATTATGATAATGTACACCTGTTCTGGAATAGGTCTAACTTGGCTTAGAGGAACCGACGACAGTTTGAATACAGTAGCCGCAGCTGCTACGAGTGCTGCGATATTTAGATCGCCTGGTATGGATTCTGATCATGTACATATTATTCATTTGCTACAACAACATAATTAAAAAATTATCATTTTAATTGCTTGCAAAAAAAGAATATAAACATATAAATAGAAAAAAATCTATTTTAAAAGTATACTTTTATTCTTTTACAGTTATAGTCTTTTAAAATTAAAATTAATGATTCAAAATATCTAAACTCATTTTTTGAAAAACTTTCTTCAGTTATTGTAGCAAATGAAAAATATATTACATAGTTACATATATTACAAGTTGTTGTAGTAAATGAGTAACACATATATTAAAAGTTATATTTCTTAGAATAAAGTGATGTGTATTTTTTTATTTTAGCTGGGATCAGAAAAGCTGGTATTGCAGGCGCTATTGCAGCAGGGGTTGCAGTGATGTACTGCGCCTGGAATAATGGAGGCTTGTCGTTGCATCGTGTGAATAGATGGAAACATGCGGCGTAAGAGTGTGTACATATTTCAGTAAAAAGTTTAGCTAAATAATAGTCATAATTGAATATTTTTACCATATATTTCATTACTGCTACTTCTGTACCAATACTGACAGCAATATTATAATATTTAAAAAAGTTTTCATTATTTCAACATTATAACATTTATATATCTAAAAAAGATAAGGACGCATATAAAAAAATATATATGCATATATATATGTGTATATTACTTAGAATGTATGGTTTAAAGCAATAATGCGCAATTTTTTTTTAACTGAGAACCATCTTGCAGATCGCATAATGTTTATTTTGATAGGCCATATATACATAAATATATAATATGTACGTACATGTACGTGTGTGTGTGTGTGTGTGTGTGTGTGTGTGTGTGTGTGTG